CTACTATGCTAAATCCCCTTGTCAATAAGTCTTTGCTCACTCTCTAGTTCCCCCAAGGTTAAACTGTTTGTCAAAGGGTTTGCACCTTGTAAAATAATGTGCTTGATTTTGCCAAACTGGCCTCCAGAGGGATTGTGTGGACATGCACATGTGAGTGGAGGGGTGTGTGCCCGGGTCCTAACATCCTGCCAGGCCTGGGCAGTGTCATCCTTCCGGATCTCTGCCAACCCGCGAGGCAAAGACTGCCACCAGCACTAGGGCCAGCTTCAGAAGGAAGCCTCCGTCTGACTAGGCCACCTGCGGAAGCTAGTCTCTTCCCCTCATGCACACGATGTTGAATGAACCGCGTAGACAGTGAAGCAGGCAGGTCCCCAGATCTGGGGACACAGGCTTTCAGTGGAGCACCAGCAGCCCCCTGCCCTCCTCTTCCTCCTGCAGGGCTCCTGTGAGTGGCCACAGGAGTGTGCTCAAATACATGCTAGGGACTCCAAACAGGAGCCGGGGAGCAGAGCAGGGGTGGGGTGGGCCATGCTCTCTTCTGCAAGCTCCCCAGGGGCAGCCATACCAAGGCAGGCTTCCCACCAAGAACCTCCCCATCGGTCCCACTTCAGGTGGTTTGCTTTAGTATTTACTTCCGTCTTCCTCCCTCACCCCCTCCAGGGTCTTGTGGTATTGCAATGCTCCTGCCTCAGTTTCCCAAGTTGCTAGGGCTACAGGGGAGCACCACCTTGCCTGGCTGTACGGGTGGGCTGGGACTCAAACCCAGGACAACATGTGGCCTCTGCATGGTGAGTAGCAGAGTCCGGCACGCACTCTGTGACTGGGCCATGCGTTTCATGGTTAAGCGCAACTCTTCCCATGAAGTCCCGATCACAAGGTTGACGGTTGGGTCTGGGGTTGAGGCGCACACATGTCCGTAGGGGTTCTCGCTTTGTGCCTGACCAGTCAAGCAGACTGTGTGTGACGGCCCCTCATACAACAGTCCGCCCACCTTCCTGGGGTCAGTCTGGGCGCGGAGCCCAGTGGGGCAGTCTCCAGCACGGGCAGAACAAGGCAGGCAGCAGCTCCTCCAACCTCACCCCTGTGGGGAGCATGGGCGGGGGCAGCGCTAACTAAAGACCCGCACTGAATACTTACATGGCTGTAAAAAAGAATTAGAAGCTCTTTACGACCCAGTTTAGAACGACTGCCAAAACGTACCCTGAAGTGAAAAGATGGCGCAGGGAGGGTGTGCACAGACACGCACATAAAGCACAAACGGACTGGCCACGGCTGGGGGCTCAGGTGCGGGGTGGGGGCGTGCTTTCAGAGTCTACTCCGTGGTACCTTCTGACTTCTGTACTAATTGAACACGTTGTCTATTTAGAAAAAGAAATAAAATGTCTAAACAAATCGCACCCATTCCAATAAGCAATTCTCTTGGCTAGCAAAGCTCTGGGCATGAGGCAGTCACCCTGCGGAGCGTCTGTCTGAAGGCCAGGTAAAGGCCGCTCCCTGCTTCTCGCTCCTTGGCCTTTCAGGGACACTTACCACGGGCCATAGAGCCAGAAAGAGACCCTGCAAAAGACACTGGTTTCTGCAACCACAGTTTAACATGGCTAGCAGATGAAGGAATGAAACCACAGACGTAGGCTACGACAAAGGTAACTTCAAATCTGTCGTGAGAAAGATTATGACAAAAAAACTGGTGTTGGATCCGCTGGCTCTTGGGGAGTGGAAAAAATCAAGTTAGATCCCCGTCATACACCTAAGAAAAAGAGGTTCCAGGGACCAGCAGTTAGCGTAGTAGCTATGTCGCTGGACTCCCATGTAGTTGACCGTGGTTCGAGTCCCAGACCCAGTGGCTTAAATTAACACCGGGCGAATGTGTGTGCGTGTCCAAGATTCCAAGAGGAGAAAGGAGGAGAAGGGATTGTGGTGTGGCCATCTCCCCTGGGGGGGGGTGATTTTCTCACTTTCTCTTTGTCTTTCTGGTGAGCTCACAAGCTCTATAGCAAAACAAAACAAAAACAAAAACAAAAACAAGAACATCTCTCCAAAAAAGAAAAAGAGATTCCATGTAGGATTAAGAGCTGAGAGACACAGTTAAACAAGTACCGAGAGAAAACCCAACACACGCATTTTATGGTCTTAGAGTGGGGAAAGTCTTCTCATTCAAGATAGAAAGATTCAGTTATACAGAAATCCCACTCAACCCCACACAGCTACCCTGTAAAATCTGTAATACTCATACAACTTTCCTGAGACTCTTACTCTATTCTAAAATTTAAAAATTACTGAAAAAATCCACTTCACTGAAAGATACCATACATAGACATTAAACGATATATATATATTTTTTACAAGCTTAGGAGAATGTACAGTGTTTGGGGGCTGGCAGGTGGCATGGTGGTTAAAGGTGCTGGATTCCCACATGACTGACCATGGTTCGAGTCCCAGATCCGGAGGCTTGCTTTCTCACTTTCTCTCTCTCTCTTGCTCTCTCTTCCTCTCTGTCCCTCTCTGGTCAAATTATAATAAATAAAAAAAATTAAATAATTATTTTTACAAATACAGTGCTTGTACATATAATGAGCAACTTGTACATCAACATAATTAATTAGAAGATAAATTACCTGACAGAAAAGTGCGGAGGAATAGCAAAAGGCAAGTTGTAGCAAGAGAAACACAGAAGGTCCACAGACGTGTAACAGGTGCTCAGTGTCACTGGCAGTCAGAAAAATGGAAGTCGGCACGACAGAATGACATTTTCTGCCACCAGACTGGCTAAAACTTAAAACCGAGTATACGCAGTGCTAATGAGAAGACAGAGAAACAGGTATTTTCATATTCATTGGGCGGTATCATTAATTAGTCCGGCTCTTTATTGGAGGCCAAATTTTACATGTACACTCTTTAGCACTGGAATTTCACTTCGAAGACTTTATTCTGTAAACATCAGCACAGGTGCTGACCCTGTGGCTTAGTGGTTAAGGGAGCTGGGCCTCGCATGGCCGACCAGGTTCAAGTTGTGACCGGCAGCCTGAGGAACATGCGGGGTATGGACATGCATGTGCTCAGAATCCGACAGGAGGAGAAATGGAGAAGGGGTTGTGGCATGACCAGGCACCACTGGGGCGTGCTTCCTCTCTCTGTCTCTGGTGAGTTCAGAAGCTCTCTGGCTATTTATTTATTTATTTATTTTTGGAGATTGAGTTCACATTCTCTCTGACTATTTATTTATTTATTTATTTATTTTTGGAGAGGTTTTTTTGCTACAGGGCGTGTGCGCTCGCCAGACAGACAGAGAGAGACATAGAGACAGAAAGCGAGAAATCACCCCTGAGAGGGGATGGTCACTCTGCAATCCCTTCTCCTCCATTCTCCTCTCGGGATCTTGGGCACGCACGCACATGCACCCGGTGTGAGTTTTAAGCCACCGGGTCCGGGATGCGAACCACGGTCGACTACTGGGAGTCCAGCGACATATCCATTTCACCATCTGCTGGTCCCTATATACACAAATATATACATGTGTGTGGGCGTGTTGTAGCAAAGGGGAAAGTGATCTGGACAACGGGAAGCCAGCCTAAGGCTTTGGGACCTGGGAGTTAGGCCAGGAAGACATGATATCCCAGATACCCCCGGGTGGACAGACCTCGGGGGAGCAGAAAGAGAGAGCCTCTGTCACCATTCAGGTGAGATGGTGACCTGACAGCAGGAGTGGGCAGCAGTGACTGGACAAGGTCCTAGTTGTCACGGGGCGGACATGGAAAGGCAGCTGTAAATAAGGGTTTGGGATTCAGGAGGCCAGAAAGGCCAGGATGTCGGCATGAAGGGTGGGAGAAACCTCTGGCTTGGGTAACGGAGTGGACGAGCTGTCTGGAGGATGAGCGGGCAAACAGCAGCAGGGGTCGGCCTCCTTAGACTGAATGCAAAGAAACCCCAGGAGTCTGGGCTGCACAGAGACACAGAGACACATAGAAGGGCCCACGGCGGCGGCTGGAAGCCCCCCACAGAGCTTCCAGAAGCCTGACCTTCCACCTGTAGGGCCGAATGCAGAGCAAATTCCAAGACCGCAGTGAGGCTGCTCGCTCTGTCGGACTCTCAGGGGAGACCCTGCGCCCCCACCTCAGACCTGGAGCTGGCCCAGGAAGACAACACCTGACAGGCTCAGTCAGATTCCCCTGGCTGGGCCCTGGGCTGGAATGGAGCCCAGACCTGCTCACAGGAGCCGCCCTCTGGAGGGAGTTGAAGGGAACAGCAGAGATGCCTGCAGAAGGTGAGGGTGGGCGTGGTCGCCATTCCAGGTGAGAGAAGCTGCAAATGAACGCCCCCTGCCCCAGAGGAAGAGAGAGGAGACGGGGAGTGGCATGCTCTGGGTGGGACAGCGAGCACCCCAGACCTGGCCAAGTGCAGCCAGTGGGTCTTAGCCCTTCCTGGACTGCTCTTTCACCTCATTCATTCACCTGAAAAGGATCTGCAAAGTGCCAACAGCACGCCAGACACTGGTCTAGATTTGGGATACAAGGGCCCCAAGGTGCCCCCACCAGGTACCTTCTCTGGCAGAGATGATGTGGTGAGAGGAGTGGCCAAAAACAAGGAAACAACAGCAAGATTGTTTCTGGAAGGGATCCAGGCTGTGCCCAACGTAAAAGGGAATGATGATCTCAAGAGTGCGGGAGGGGTGGGTGAGGGTGCTCAGGGAACATAATTCAGCTGGGGTCTGAAGGACAAGAAGGAACCCTTAGCCAAAGACGGGGAGGGAGCCCCAAGGAAAAGAGGGTGGGGGAACTTCAGGCTGGAGCTAATTGTGCAAGGCAATTGTTTTGCTAATAAGACCATGTTAAGAAAATTAGGTTTTCCTTTTTTCCCCTGTTTGTAAAGAACTCATTAGGGAGTTGTATTTTTAGTTCTTCCTCCTGTGGAGGTTTGCTGGGGCTGACTGGAAGGGTTCCAGATCCATGCAGGACCCCGTGGGGGAGCGTGAGAGAGAGGAGGCGGAGGGGAGAAGCTCCCACCTGCTCCGGGTGGTCACGTCCAGGAAGAACTGCACGAGGGCCAGCAGGTTGTGATGGTGGTCAGACACCCAGCTCAGGGCACGGCACAGCTTCGGGAGCTGCGGGAAGGGGCATCCGGGTAGGTTGCTGGAGGAGGTCACCTTGGCTCCCACCTTGCTACCCACCCAGCCTGCCCTGGAAAGGAGGGTCCCGAAAGCCAGGGTACTCCAAGGACACCCTCAGTCCCCAGGGACAAAGCTGTGTGAGCAACAGGCTTGGGCGTGGTACCTTCTCCGGCCACTCTTGGATGTTTTCCAGGAGCTGGAGCAGAAGCTGCTGGAGGTCGGTCTTGGGCAGCAGACGGAGCCCCACGTCCAGGCCGGCGCGGCACAGCAGTTCGATCAGGCCCAAGAGGTTCCCGTCGGTGTAGGCCCCTGGCCGCGCGAAGGCGCACAACGTCAGGAACTGGAGAGCAGAGAGAAGGGCTGGGGCTCCTGGCCTGCGGCAGGCAGGGGAACGGGCACTGCCCCACTGGCTCCCTGAGAACTGCTGGTCAGGCAGGAGGGGGCTCTGAGAGCCGCTTGGCCGTACTGGGGAGGAGCTGAGAAAATAAGCAGCGGGACCTGGACTTGAGGCTCTGCTGGGGTCCTTGGGCAGCAGGCACAGGTCTGGAGCGTGTGTAGCGACAGTCCCAACAGAGGCTCTGCACCCGGGATGGAGCTCGGTGACTCCACTGAGTCATACCTCTGAGCATGTCTGGTGGAGCCCCAGGCCGGGGGAGGCCAGCCGTCAGACTCACCTTGTAGATGTAGTTCAGGCTAATGCCCAAGGCGACTTGCTGGGGCGCCTCCCGCTGCCCGTCCCAGCCCAGGCTGGCCTCACTGTTAAGCACTCTGTGGTAGGACAGCAACAAAACAATCAGGATGACAAGCAGGGACCAGATAGATGGCGGCACAGCAGTTACACAACTGGGCCCACAGGGGAAGGTCTTGTTCATGTCCCGGGGCTCCCTGGGCACTCAGGGTGCACACACTGTGCCCCTGGTCTGGGATGGCTGAGGCTGGCTGAGGCTGGGGGTGGATCGTGGCACGAAGACCCTGTTTTGGTGCCTGGCTCTTTCTCAAGAAAGAAAGGAAATTAAACTCTCCCCTAACTACCACCAAAAGAAAGAAAGAGAGAAAGAAAGATAAAGAACAACTACCACCAAAAAAAAGAAAGAGAGAAAGAAAGATAAAGAAATTAGGAGTGGGCACAGGGGCTCGGGAACAGACTCACAGGCGGCCCATTCAGCGCTGCTGCCTGTGTGCTGGTCATCCACGGAACTTAACCAAGGGCGCCAGCGGGAAGGGATGTGGAAGCTTTTCTTTTTTTCTGTTTAAAATTTGCCAGCGAGTGTGTGAATATATCAGAGAGAGATGGAGAGATGGGGAGAGGAACGCAGAAAGCACCCCCCTTGGGGCATGGTCATGCCGCAATCTCCTCTCCTCCATTTTTTTATCCTGTCGGGATTTGGGGCAAGCACATACACTCCATGTTTTTCAAGCCATCGGGGCCAGGATTCAAACCAGTTCGCCATGTGAAATCCTACCTCCCTAACTACTGGACCACCGGGCTGGTCCTGTGGTGGCTTAAAACAGAATTTACTGGAGTTGGCAGGTGGTGTCATGGTTAGGGCACTGGACTCCCACATGGTTCACCACAGTTCGAGTCCTGGACCTGGCAGCTTGCTTTCTCACTCTCTTTGTTTCTCTCTGGTAAATTTAAAAATAATAAATAAATAAATAAAATAATTCTACTTTATGGGACCAGCAGTTGGCGTAATGGCTATGTCGCTGGACTCCCATGTAGTTGACCATGGTTTGAGTCCCAGACCCAGCGGCTTAAATTCATGCCGGGTGCGTGTGCGTGCTTGCCCAAGATCCCAAGAGGAGAATGGAGAAGGAATGGTGGCATGGCCATCCCCCCTGAAGGGTGATTTCTTGCTTTCTGTCTCTCTGTCTCTGTGTGTCTTTCTGGTGAGCACATGTGCCCTATAGCAAAAACCTCTCAAAAAAAAAATTCTATTTTAAAATGGCATTTATTATCTCATATAGTTTTGAAGGGCCAGGAATCCAGGGGCAGCTTGGCTGGGTGGTTCTGGCTGGGAGTCTCTTGGAAGGTTGCCCTTGAGATGCTGGGTGCGGCTGCAGCCACCTCATCTTGACTGGGCTGGAGGACCTGCCTTCAGGCTGGCTCTCATGTCACTGGCCAGCAGACAGCCCCCAGTTCCCGGCCATGTGGACCTCTCCAGAGGGTTCCACGACATGGCAGCTGGCTTCCCCAAAGCAGCGATCTGAGACAGCGCCTCGGCCTTTCATAACCTTACCCAAGGAGTACCATGCCATCACTACTGGCCAGCTGACTTGCTGTGAACACCGGGAGGTGGGGACAAAGCGGGGGTCCCGGGGGGCTATCTCCCATGGGCGGCCATTCAGGCGAGGCCTCATTTCACCTCTGACGACTTAGAAATCAGGAAATTACACATCTCCAGTTCTCCAAAAGGCCTTCTTCCAAAGCGTTCTCTCATGATGGTGACTCTCCGCATGCACTGACAGGGGCGCCCCGTGGTGGCTTGCACAGAGGTCCGTTTTAAAGTCCAGCAAGTAAGGTAAAAATCAACAACCCTTGCAAACCCCCTCCAGAGGTGCCACACTGGAGTGAGCGTGTTGTCTACTGACTAGCCCAGTGAGGCCAGATTCCCCCTAGTGACCAAACAGATCTGGGTGAGCCTGAAATGAGGTTACGGACCAGGGCTGCTTTTTTTTTTTTTTTTTTTTTTAGGCTGCTGGGTCCAGGACTTGAACCATGCAGTTGGCCCCAGTGCCCTAAACCTCTACCTAGGTTTCTATATTTGTTTTCACCAAGAGTTAAAAAAAATAAAGTTATTCTCTACTATGGCTTAGATAATGGTTTGTCTTCCAAAGGTTTGTGTTTTAAAATTTGATCCTCCTTTTATTTTAAAATTTTATTTATTTATTTATTTTTAGAGAGGTTTTTGCTATAGGGTGTGTGTGCTAGCCAGAAAGACAGAGTGAGACAGAGACAGAAAGCAAGAAATCACCCCCTGGGGGGGATGGCCATGCCGCAATCCCTTCTCCTCTCAGGATCTTGGGCATGCACATGCATGTGCCCGGTGTGAGTTTAAGCCACTGGGTCTGGGACTCGAACTGCAGTCGCTACATGGGAGGCAGGGGCATAGCCAATACGCCAA